TGGTCCTCAACAGAACTGTAAAAGTAAAGTTCGTTTAGAAAATTTATTTATAAATAAAAAAAATAAAAATTTATGAGGCAAACTACCATCCTACAAAATAAATAAATATATGATTACGGTTGCAAAGCTAGATGTACCATATTTAATTAAATGCGAAGCAACAACACTATTATTCGTTAAAACAAAATATTAACCTTGCTCGTCTTGTATTATGCAAGGAATAATTAGTATAATAATATAATATTAATATAATATGATGAGTTTTAGTTAGGGAAATTTAATTTCCAACATTGTAAACATTTTTGATAAATCTATTAGTTAAATGTGGAGTGGCGTTCCAAAGTGCAGCAAGCCTGGGCCATGCGTTCAAATTTTATTGTTAGGTTGCCATTAGTTAGGTAGTTTTAAGTTTTTTGAATAGTTAAGAAGTGAAAGTGATTAGCTTGTCAACCAAGGATTTAAGGTGGACTGCATCATCGAACCACATTTGTATTTTGCATGTAAAGTTTTAAAAATGAAGCTCATAATGAGCATGTAAAAAAAAAAGAAAAAAAAAAATAATATGATAATAATTCACAAAGTAATAATTGGTTATCCGGCCAGTCCAAGAACCTTTGATTCAAGCGAAATTCAGTTTAGAAGCCCTACTTGCTATTGCTTATACACATTACCTCGGTAATAATAGATGACATTTTTTCTAACCAAATACGATATTTTCAGTAAAAATGGGTTTAGTCTTGAAAATATATCAGTAAAAATCTCGATATGTAGTATTAGTATCAGTCGAGTCTTAAAAATAATTTTCTTGCTATACAGTGGGTTTCCTTGGTGTATAACGTTTTAAATTGCATAACATAGAGCATTCTCCAGGTTACATCTTAACATCTTTGGACTACCAAGACTCGTGAAACGTAGATATTTTTTATGCATAGAGATTTTTACTGGTAATGTGTAATAACCGTAGGGTTTCTTACCTGAATTTCGCTTAAATCTACGAATCTCGGGATAGTCGGTCAACCAACTATTCCTTTGTTGGTTATTATTATATTATTATAATAATATATTAATTATAACAAACATACATATGAAAATAAAAATATAGATCCAATAGTATTTGTTGCAAATTCAACTATGTGTTTTTACTTCTATGTACACTATTACGAAGTATATTGAATTGTATATTGATCTAGATAGCTGGAAGTGTAAATGCAAACACTACAACAGCAGCACTATACTAATTATCCACTCCAAAGTGCATAAAACCATTGAATAAAGCATGAAATATATTTACGTAATTGCCTGAGTTTTATTATGTATTTCATAATACATTACATTAGGAAACTGGCTTACGTTTTCCATTCTCATCCCAGCATCAATTAAGTGGTTCAGCTTTAATCATAACTTTCTCTGTTTGATAAGTTCCTTGTACAGGCCTAAAGCCATGTGAACAAGAACAATAAATTTAAGGATAGAAACACAATCAATCAATTTGTTATGAATGTGCCATAGTTTTGATTATGCACATTTTATTGCTTAATATAATGAGGTGTGTTTAGAATTAAATATCTCAAACTATGCCGCTATAGAATAACAGTAACCATCTGAAGAATTATTCTAGTAAAGATTCCTTTTTAGCTAAAATTTTCAAATGCTTTATTTAACCTCTGCCCAAAAATAACATAAGGCAAACGTCAAATGATTTCGTAAGAATCCAAACAGCTCGCTAGAGGTATATCGCTGAAGCTACAATCAGGTATATGTATGAATAACGTTTTTTTTTTTATTGCATGAATGCATGTTGCATATTGTTTGACTTTAAGTCCTGCATAGTTTGTTGTACGCTAGCTCTAGAGTGTGCATTTTAAACGATAATTAGTTCTTGAAAGTAGACAGTTTATAAAGTAGCTTTAAGATTTAATTGCCTTGAATGATGTTATATTGTAATATGTAGTCTTTATTATAGTTTTCTATTATGAAAGTGAAAGTTAAGTTATTAATTTATTTATTAATAAATGTGTATTAAGATTATTTACAATTTCGTCAATATTCATAAAATAATTCATCTCTGTGTAAAACGGAAGGTTATTTAATTACTTTACTTAACCCTATAACGGTTATTTACCGTGTAAAAAGTAACAGAGAAAAAATTACAATCTGACATAACTCTTAAATTTGCCGATCATTTACATAAAGAGCTTCAACTATTTCAAACCATTTCACATTTGTTTTATCATAGCATCACATTTGAAAACATATTGTACTTTTTATCATATATAGATATATATACTTATTGTTACCCCAATTACCGTTGTTATACTATATTTTTTTTTAAATTTCCAAACTGAAACAAGCAAACATGGATTCCAAACTAAACAGTGCAAAATGTTTAGTTTCATGTTCATTTAAGTCTAGTTGCAAAGCTGTATATAAAAAATAAATACCAAGACAGTTGGAAAAGATTTTAAGTCATAATAGAACAAATAAATAAGCTTAATTAAATGTTACAAGTTTTAAAATGTAATTGTATTGCATAAAAGAACAGTAAATATGTGTGTTTATGCAATAAAAGTTCAATATGTTTGATTTAAAAAAAATTAGACTATGTTATTGTGATCTGACGATAAGCATGTACAACTAATATTGCACTCACATTCAATATACATGAACCTAAAATAGTACTATAGCCTACAATAAATAACCTTTATGGTTACAATATCATTTCCGACTAATACTTTAAAAGCAGAAGTGAGCTGGTCTAGTGTTTAGAGTGCAGGACTTCGGTTCCTGAGGTCTCGGGGTCAAATCCCACCAAATTACCAACGGATTTTATCTAAGTGATAATGCCGCAACCCCTAGGTCTAGCCAGATAATTATTTTGTCGCTCGTATTTAATATTATGTATGCAATAAATTTTGTACTAACACAAAAGAAAGTTTTCCCACAACAAAATTGTTGTTTTGTTTCACAAAAGTTGTTTTCCCAGAAGAAAGTTTTTTGATCATTTGAACTTTCCTAGGAAAAATAATAACCTCATGATAAATATAACTTTGATGTGTGACATTCATACTATATGAGTGTAATACATATTTACTGGAAACTAAAAAAAAAATAATTCAATATTATTTGATGTAAATCATCTTATTAAAAAGTTGTCTCTAATATTATGTGTAGGCAATCTACGAATATGGAAGCCCGTGATCGCAATAAAAAGTATTCTATTCCCTCTTCCACTATAAGACTTAGCAGGGTCAGAATTGACATTGTTATATATGTACATTCAATTATTCAGCCTAAAGAAAAGTTTATGTAAGCCCCAATTTATTTCAATTAATGAGGATTTCTTGCAAAGCTGTACTAAAAAATAACTCACAAACATTTGAAATTCTGTTACGTTGATAATATTGCTTAGTGTACTGTAGATTATTTATTTAAGGAAAATTAAATTCTATACATGGTGACCATGCCTATACGTTGATTAGTCGACCTGTAATTTGTAAAGTTGATCAATACTACGTGCATGGTTAAAAAATATTGTTATTAGCATTCATTGCCCGTTTCATCTGGTTTTATTTAGTAATATATTAGGTTTACTTAAACGTTTTTGATATAGAAGACTTGTAGGGAGGTATAAAATATATATATATATATATATGTATATAATATATCAAAATATATATATATTTAAATATAATATATTAAAATATATATATATATATTAAAATTAAAAAATATAATATATAAAACAATATATATAAAAATATAGGTATATAAAAAGTCTCTCTTAATAGCATTAGTTTAAAAAAGTCAAGTCTGCAATCATTGCCTTTAACAGTTTTCACACATTTCCTGCGTCTTGGTAATCTCAAATAAACTAAACAATTAGTTCCAAACCATCTTTTTATGTCCAATATTTTTTATGCACTTATTTGTTACAACACAATAGCTAAGCTAATAATAATCCATTGACAAAGTATGACATTTGATTATTACTTTTTAAACAAGGAAAATACTTCTTAGATAAGCAATTACTAAAATTAATTGATTTTAGGCTATTCTGAAACAAAACTATTTTATTTTACATTTTTATTAAAAGTCTTGCTGTAACCTCATGATTCCCAAAAACGACCAAACACATTTCGGATATTTACGAGACCATGTTAAAATTTAATGTGTCACCATTTCATTAAATTTTACCAAGCCTAACCAGAACTTTTACAGATAAATTTATTTTAATGATTATATTTTTTCGATGAACGTAACATAAGTTTTTATTTAACTAAACTCATTATTTTTATTGAGCCCTTTTTAAATAAATAGTTAATGCGTAACCTTTGTAGCTCCTGTAAAGTTTAACAATTATGTGGCATGTTTCTTAAGAACACATTTTGTCTTATATGTGTGATTAAAATCACTTTAAACATCCCTAAAGCTAGGTGTTGTTGAACCGAAGGTTGAATTTTGCGAATGGTTTTTATTTATGGGACTTGAAATTTTTCCTAATGACAGTTTTTCGTACTAGTATGACGCGACTCGTGCTTTGTTTAAGGTGCCAGATGAACAGATGTAATCAACAAATTAACTAGACTCACTCCCCTATTGCAGGTAGTCGGTAGTACTACTAACTTGTTGAAAACATTATACAATGCACCAAACATCGTGCATACGTTATAGATTGTTAAATAGTAAATTGTATAATACGTGATACAGGTTTTAAAATTATAATATTGCTTTTAAAAACCTATAGTTTTGAAACAGTACTACATTTTTAATTTGACATATTAGATCTAAATGCCAAAAAACAACATATTAACTAAAACAGATTAGGAGTGGGTGGATCTAAAACAATTAGTTACTCATTCATTTTGTGCTTTTAAAATTGACTACACTGAGAGGAGGAATTTTTAACTAAACGAAATATATTTAATTTTCTTCGATATGTAAAACATCATTTTCAGAATGTGTCAAATAATTGCTATACTTGATGGTTTTTGCTCTCACAGGCAACTACAGCTGTCTCAAGGTAGACCTCATCTTCACCAGGGACAGAGCTTTCTACTTCACGACAGTGTTCATACCGGGAATAATCCTGGTCACTTCGTCATTCATCACGTTCTGGTTGGAATGGAACGCGGTACCTGCGAGGGTTATGATAGGTACGTACTGAGTTAAAAATACGAGGTGGTTGTAAGGGTTTGTGTGTATAGCTTTTAAGTTCGCATGTATGAGGCTCCTCACGCTTACTGGTATCATTTGTGAACAGAACTGTGTCATGTGCAGCTCTAGAGGTGACGTGTACATTTAACTATGTGTCTATAGTTTTTTAAATTATTGAATATCCCATTGCATGCAAGAAAATGTCAATGATATGTTTTTTTGACTGCAAAAACATATCAGGACAGAAAACATACCCAGCTGCAGACATTTATTGTCAGATGTCTGATGTTTATGGCCCTAATGCCATGGGTGAGGGTATAGGGCAGAAATGGGCTGTACTCTACTAAGTAGCTCCTAAAAGAGTATGTGTCTTGTTTGCTATTTTACAAAAACATCTTTTACCATTATTAAAATGCAACAGAGCAGGAATTACTCCGCCAAGGTACCAACACAAAAATTTAGAAATAGCATACAAAGGCAATTAAAGCCAAGTTTAATATTATGTAAGTTAATTTAGTTTTGAAAAACATGGTCAGAAACCAAAGTTAACTTAGTTTTCTATTAGGCTCCACTTTCGTCTGTTCCATTCCCTGTATTTAGGATGACACAAAGGCCATCTCTCAATTGAGTTACGAACATCACGTAATAATGTCATTGCTCCGAATGTCAAACCTATTGACGTCACATCTGACCACGTACCATTGGTTTAACAACGTTTAAATCTTACCTCTGAGAGTGATGAACTTTATGTTTCATATATATAACATAGTCGTGTGTGCCGTAGGAACTAAATGTTTAAAGCAATCGTTTGTTTCAGGTGTAACTACAATGCTCAACTTTTTCACTACCTCTAATGGTTTCCGGTCGACTCTACCTGTGGTATCCAACCTGACTGCCATGAATGTATGGGACGGCGTTTGTATGTGCTTCATCTACGCCAGTTTGCTTGAGTTTGTCTGTGTTAACTACGTTGGACGCAAACGCCCGCTCCACAACGTCGTCTACAGGCCTGGTGAAAACCCTGTTACCCAGGTACGCTTAACTTGAATTATTGGCAGATTTCTTTCTACATTACCTCTACAAATTTGTTAGTACTTTTAATTTAAGATATTATTTTATTATTTTTAGAGTATTTTAATTTCATTTACATTTTTCTTACCTAAAGACCACTGAAGAGTACTTTTCACAGTTAAATATCCTCCTTTGTAAATTCTACGTATATTTTTTTGTATTTCATTAGTTTTTGCTTTTATAGAGTTAAATTAGATTTCATGCAGCATTGATGTTTTTTACATTGTGGTTCACTGTGGTTAGGTAGAAATACATAACCAATTATAACACAAATAGTAGGAAGTACTTTTGTTAAATAACTAACTCTATATAGACATATCTTAACTAATAATTAGTGCTATTTTGATGTAATTGCTCGAAATTCAACACTAGTGGGTCTTTAACAATTTTTAACTACCATCAGAGTATTTTCTTACATTTGTCATCACAAAAGTGAGAGCTGTTGATTAGGCTTTCATTTCAAATAATCATGAAAGAGAACACACCATTACTCTAAACTACATCATTACATAGTTACAAGAAATGTATGTGTAATACTGTTAAAATCCCCTAGTCAAAATTATTTTCATCAAGACTCAGTTTCGTTAGTATTTTGGGTATTCATTGAAAGGTTTAATGGTTTTTGACAGTTTTAAAACTTAAATCAATCATTATATATATAATAATATATTCATATTTATTGCTATATAAAATTTTTCATGGTAATGATGGATATAAATTTATTATTCCCTATTGAGGAATCTTGCAAAAACAAGCACATGCATCCCTCTTACAGTTGTATGTCTAAATTGGCCAAATCAAGAACAATTCAGGTAATGGTTTTATTATTTCACATTGTTGCGTGGTATTTCACGTTTATTGATTGATTTGGTTTGTATTGTCCATTATCTTCTGCGACTTCTTCTAGTTCTTTTGCCCAAAGTGTTAATCATTATTTTTGTCGACTGCTTAATGCTGACTCCTTCATATTAGTTAGTTTTAGTTTTAATTAGTGTTTTAAGTGTCTTTATAGGCAAACCGCCCATATGACTATCGGTTTTCCTTCTGTACTTTAGTAGCTTGTTGTTTACTAAATTCCCTAATCAGCTATGTATGATTTATACTTTGCAAAAGTATTATAGTTGATTCTTATAAAATGCTAAATCCACTTTTTGAATCTTGATCGCCTGTAAATATTTAGTATATTTACTCTGTTTTCAAGGCCTTTTTACTGCTTCCAGCTTAAATAATACCATTTTGGTATTAAAACCAACCAGAATGTGGTAGTTAAGGTATCTAGTAAAGCTAAAAACACATATTTCACTAAATTTGTATCACATTTCAGTAACTTATTTCCATGTTCATTCATATACAAGTTTACACTAAAGAAAGTTTAACAATTTCTTGCATTCTTTTACAGCATCAGAATACAATATATTTTGGTTAAGGGAATGATAAGTTGATTTCATAACTTCAATTCTGCTCGTTTAAATACTACCCCTAAATTATCCAAACTATGGACATTTTTATGAATGTTTTATCAAGCACCAATCACCCCAACAATCAATCTACCCACATTTTTCTCCAATCAATTTTTTTTATTCTTAAGGAGGTTCTTTTTCTTTTTTCATGGAATTCTACAGACTCAAGTTCTTTATTAAAAACAAATATTTAATATTTATACCAATGGATAATTGTTTGATTAATTTTCTACCACATTATTAGCGTAATCCATTTCATCATTTTAATTTGATGGGATTTTTAAGCTTAGACTTAAAACAAAGGTTAATGAATACATTTTCGATTGAAAAACTGATAATAGTTTTTCTCGCCTAATAAACCAATCGTTGTCTGTTCAATACGTCATTTGTTCTTTCCTCAGAACTTTGTCAAACTCTCATCACATACTTTTTGTCAATCCACAGTTATATAAAACTGGTTAGGTACGTACCATAGTTTTGATAACTCATCAAAAATCAGAAAAACCTTTGCAACATATGCGGCTAATGAATCATATTTGCTGCAATTGAGGGATGAACTAGTTCGTTAAAAGCCCCCTTAAAATGTTAAACAATTATGGAAGAAATCTTCGAGTCACTTAGTACTGCTTAAAACATCATAGAAATTTACCTTAAGCCAGTAGTTAATGTATAAATCTTTTTTTCAGATATTTAAATATATTTGTTACGTAAATTTCATATTGAATGATTTGTGTTGTGTACTGAGCATGTATGAACAAGTTTGCATTGCATTTTAAATTTACAGAGGTGCCCTATCGTTATGTTTATGAAGGGCTTTGAGCGAAAGGATTTTTTATTTAAAAATATGTTTAAATATATCCAAATTGTTCTTTGTTATAGACTGAATTCAGTGCTTAATTTCAGAAGGTATATGCTATGAAAAGTGATGTCAATTTTCAAAAAGATTTCAGAAAGTTTGAGCATTCAAAAAATGTTCCACGAATAATATTATTGTGGATGTAATTAGTAAGTTTAATACTTTATTTCAAATGTCATCTATATCATGAATTATATTAGGTTCTCGATTTTATTTGTTTTAAAAGACTTAAGTTTTGAGGTATTTGTTTTGTTTGGTCTTTAAGCACTACAAAAGTGATATTTCTTCATTCATATAGGTTCTTAAACGTTTTCAAGGGACATGTTTCAATATAATGTTATAGAGGAAAGTGTGCATATATTAAATTTAAAATAAATACATCATGTATAAATGTTAAATTATTATGAGTATTATTATGAGTATTTTTAACAAGATACTGTATAAACTAACTGTGCTGTCAGTATACTTCTAACACTATCCATTTAAGTGAAAACAATGTATTCATAGAAATATTTAAAGATTAATTTATCTCTCTCCAAGCCAGTCCAAAATCTTTGAACTTTGTAAAATTCTTCTACTGTAGTTTGTATGGTAATTTATTCTTCTCATTAATTTTGAAAGTTCTGAAATACAAGCTGCAACTCAATTTTAACTTACTGAACACTCTTAGTTTTGGCATATTTGAAACTGCCAAATCAGTCTTATCACATCCATATTGGTCAAGTTTTCTCCTTTGCTAGGTGATGAGTTTGTTTTTCCAAATTAAAATTCCTTCAAGAGCAAGTAAGATGCTTCCAGTACAAAATGTTTTTTGTGAGTCGGTGGCTCAGTGGTAGCACCATAAACTTTGGGCCCAAGGCAGTTTTTTTGTGGGTTCGGATCTTGGTACCTTCCCCCAATTTCTTTTCTGTACACTTCACCATTGTACTGTATCAGCTCACCCCTTGCTAGCTTGTGTGGAGGGCTAAATTTAAGGTTAAAGTTATAGATTTAAACTAAAGTTTTAACTAAAGATTTACTAAAGTTATACTTCTTTATAAAAAAAATTGGAAGTTAACAATTACTGATATATTGAGGACTAATCTATGTTGGAACTTGAGCTAATGTATTGCTACTAAATGCAGCATGAAAATTCCTCTATTGTCATTGCTATTAACGATTCATACTAAGGTTTTCATCATACTAAGGTTGTCATCAACTATGCACAAAGATCAGTCATGCACACATGAATATTCTATGCTCAAATTAATCATGCTCATGCTCACACCTAGGCATACCACAGCAATCTTAAGCCGGCCGGAGGCAGGTGTTACGAGTATGTTAGCAGAGTTAGATGTCAGGTAGCAAATATAGCTCTGAGCACAGCAATATTCAAGTGAAATCTACGATTTTAGCCATGATTGATTTAATAACTATTTTATAAAATTAAATCTACCTCTTGTATTTTGTGAGTAAATGAGAATATTTTTAATCATAGATAAAATCAAATAAAATTTTAATTACAAGCTGAATATACTTCAGGAACATAAGTTATACATTAACAATCCATTATGTAGAATTTCATGAAATCTTAAATTCAAATTAAAGTTTAAGTTTTTAAAGCTTTGTCTTATAACTTTTCTAATTAAAATAACTGATCAAAGAGTGCTCACTTGAACACCGAAAAATTAAGATATAATCATACTTTAAATCTCAATTCATAAAAATCTTTGAGGATTTTAATATAATGAATTTATTAGACCATTTTTACCATACTTTCAGCAAATTGTACAACCGATGATGTTGTTCAATTTCTTCCAGTAAATATTTTTGTTGGGAGGTGTTAGTTTGGTGCTTAGGAGAGTAGTCACAACTAAATTTATTTTGTAGATGGTTTACACTTTTTCTATATTTTCTAATGGTACATCTTTTACATTATAAAGCAATAGTCGATAAAGTTAATAAACATGTTTAGAAATTAAGCACTGCATTAGGTCACAACAATCTAAAACAACCTTACACATCAATTCACATCTACCATTCCGCTGGGCACCTTTGTTTAAGTTATTTTGTATTTATTTGTTTTTATAACATTCAAACTGTTAACTATTAATTGTATCTAATTTTTATTCTTAGCAGGAGTTTAGACATTTTTCACAATTGCACGATATTTTGGAAATAAGACTTACTATTAAAGTTTATCCCTTAAAACTACTTTTACACTTTCCAATATCTCGGGTAAGTGGGCATGGTTTAAATACTTACGTCTGTATGGTTGTGGCAGTTAGTGTGCTTGCATGTGTGAGTGTTTCTGGTGTAAACAGAAGTATTTTTATACGTTATATAACTATTACATTTCAAAATATGATATTCAACTTATGTTATATTTTTAACAAAATATCCAAACTTGAAATATATTTATGTGGAAAACAAACTTTATAAATAATGTTATAAAGTGTAGTCTTTTTGTAACAACCATTTTTAGAATAAAAAATATACCGTAATACTAACAAGATTAGGTTAAGGTTTTCCAGTTTATTCCATTTTCCTCTCTTTCCTCTTTTTACTTGCAGTCCTCACTATGTAGACAAAAATTTAGAGCATTTCTTTTTATATGATTTTAGTTTCCAACAATTCATGGCCAATTGGATATACCATATTGCTGT